GTGTGAGAATTCTGGTATTAAGATTTGTTGCTTTCAGGATTGCTTGTATAATCACTGCAGCACAAAGTCTTTTTATATCTGTTGTATTTGTTTCTCCCCTTTGGCTGTGGGAGAACAGCCTGTTCTTTCTGGGTAGCTAGATCTGCCCTCTGTGTATCACCCTTTTCTATGGCCAGACTATGTTCACTGAGCCTGTACTTCATCAAGGTCTTTTTCTCCTTGCTGTCTCTCACCCTAGTCAGTTACCAGGGCAACTTGTATCACCTTTTTAACCCCAAGTACCATTTCAGTTTGTGTTGTGTTTGTGTGTGTTCTAAGGGTGAGGTAATGTAGTTTGTCTTGTGCAGTGATGTAGTTGACTTTGATTTGTGGTTTAAGCAATGCTATCACAAAGCTAGCTGGTGTCATTGTGGCTCAGGGTAGCTGGCTAAGATGGTTCTTTTCTGGGATGGGTTATATGGAATTCTGGTCATGACATTTTAGGTGCAGCAAATATTTTATTTCTCTCTTTTGTATATAGTTTTGGCACAATTTTTAAATTTTGTAATACAGGTTGTTTACGTCTTAATGATGGAACTGGAAACTGTTGAGCTGCTATTGACAGACAGGTCATTCCTTGATGACATCTATTTTGGTTTCTAATGATACACACAAAAGAATGAGCAAAAATAATAATGAGTGTAAATATATGGAAGAAAACAATGTAATAAAACTGAACTATTACTGTTTAGAATGCACGTTGTACATTTGTTTTTTGTATGAGAAAAAGCAGTTTCCTGTCTACTTGCTTTTTACTTTAAAATTGTAGTTTAACCATTTATATACAGTATACATAAACACAGAACTGGATTCTGCGATTTTTATATCTTCTACTCAAATAAAATCTGCAGATATATCACAATGGAATGGAATGGAAAGTAATGGAATTATCTGATAGCCTTTATTTTCCTTTTTCTTTAGCACCTTATGTTATCTTACCTTATCTGTTAACAACATTATAGTAACAGTATCTTTTATCTAACGAACTGTCTGAGTCAACATCCACCCCCATCTTTTGGCTAAAAGATGACTATATGTGCCATGGATGATAACATGATAGGATATGGTAAAGTAGGTGTTTTGTGAGCAAAACTAGACAGCCTCTTTTATGTGGAAGTGCTGAAAGAGATTTCTAGCATTTTGTAGAAAATGTATATTTTTGTTTCAAATACAACATGACTCTTTGTGTATATAGGGGGGAACTTGTCCACAGAACAACATCTAATCATCTAACTGCATCCCTTCTGCAGTTTTATTTCAAGAGAAAGAGAGAAATGTAAGCTTAAAGCAACCTCTCTCCACTAAAAATGCCTTCCATCAAGAACCATGTACGTCAGTTTTAGTTCTTGTTTCATTGCTCTTTCTCATTGCTCTTTCATTGCTCAGCATTTTATTTTCTTTGCATTGCAAAATTTGTAATGCACTGAACTTATTGCGGTCATGACATTCTCAATAATTATTTTTGATTTATCATTGATTGCATCTGTAGATTGCAGTTTTGTATATATTTGCATAAGCTATTCTCAGAAAGTGCAGATGAGGTCTCATTTACGTTGCAGAGAAAGAAGCCAAATATGGTCTCACTTCAAGCTTTCCTACTTAACAATGAAGAAGTGCTTTTTAAATTATTCCACTATTCAGCATTTAGCAATTGCATAAACGTTAACTACTTGCCAGCTATATTATCTTGTAATGTACAACTAGCAACCCACTGAAGCTAAGCAGGTGTGAGGCTGGTCAGTACCTGGATGAGAAACCTCCTGGGAAAGCCAAGGTTGCTGCTGGAAGAGGTGTCAGTGGGACCAGTAGGGAATGCTCACCCTACAGTATGTGGGTCCTAATGCCCCAGTATAGTGATGGGGACACTATACTGTAAAAAGGTGCCACCCTTCAGATGAGATGTAAAACCAAGGTCCTGACTCTCTGTAGTCATTAAAAATCCCAGAGTGTTTCTCGAAAAGAGTAGGAGTGTTACCCTGGCATACTGGCCCAATTTCCCATTGAACTTTACCAGTCATGGCCTCCTAAGTATCCTCATCTTTGAATTGAACAGAAGCTTCACCACTCTGTTCATTTCCCTACTGATGAAAACTACTGATACACAATTATGGCTGCCTTTAAATTATCCAGGTGGGTGCTGCACATTGGTGGTGGTGGAAGGGAGTACCCATTACCTGTAAAGCACTTTGACAGAAAAGGCATGGTTTACTTAAGGAACAGGAGACATATCCATCACCTCCTTTTTTCAATAGCCATATATTAATCAAACTGAAAATAGCTAGATCCAGCGGAATATGAAGTTAAATCCCAAATACCTTTATGCTTGTAACACATCAACTGAAAGCAAGTCTGACAAAAAAATAAATGTGATTGTGTGACAAATATTTCAGAACCTCATTCAATATATACTTTAATATGTCCATGCTGTTAGTCCAGTGTGATGGAATAATTAAATACACCTGTGAGGATTATGTATTATGCCAAAAAAGTTATACCTAACTACCAATTACTAGTTTCAAACCCAGTCCTTATTGGTTTGCTTTCATGAGCCTACTCAAGAAGGTTCTGGAAGAGAGAACACTACTATCATTTGGAATTGGCAGTTTGGGACAACAAAAGCACACTAAGCAACCAAAGACCAACACTGCCATGTACTACATTCGTTTTTTATTTGTACCTTAAGTGGTTTATCTTATCGTTTGGACCTCCTCAGGGATCCTAGGTCATTTTTAGCATTTTTTTCTTGGAGAAGACTGCATAGTCTTCCCTTTCCTGGATTTGCATATCTGTTTTATACACCACTCATGACTCTTTACACTCAGAAGATCTTTTTGTCTTCACTTTAATCAACAGGCACTAGAACGTTCATATTTGCTCTGCAACACCCCACTTCTCATCACTCGCTACTGTATCATGACCAATCTTGTTTGGTCAGAAAAACTTCTTTGTAATCTCTCTCGGCTGTAGAGAAAAGACGCACATTCAGTCAGCCATAGTTCAGCTGGCCAACCCTCTTAGCAGTGCAATTCATTCCCATTGGACTTGACAAACAAACTGCTATGCAGCCCATCTGCACAGCACCTGCAACACCAACCAGGAACAGGAAAAGGTTTATTCCATGCTAAAAAAAAGAAGAAAAGAAACACAACATTTCGGCTGTGGAGTCTTCTTTAGTGTGAAGAATTATCCACACCTTTGAATTGGCTTTATTCAAAGATGTGAAGAATGCTACCTACTGATTATTGAGACCTATGTTTTTTCGCACCTGAAAGCTTGTGTTTCTTTATGGGCTTTTACCTTGTCTGTGGATGCTACAATGTACAATGTATATAATACTCAAGTGTGGTATTAGAGGATATCATTTTCTGTGACACAGGGTGGCACAGCTGTGATGTCTAATTAAAGCAATTAAAAGAATAAAGTAAGTTTGTGTAGGAAGGTTATCTTTGTAAACTATAAGATCTGAATAAAGAATAATCCACATCAAATACTAGTCAGTCAGTCTCTGTTCATTATAATTCTTGTAACATCTAGAATCCTGAAGCAAGTATGCAGGAAGCCTTTTTGATAGATTTTAGCTCTGCATTTAATACTATCATTCCAAAAGTCCCTTACAATACATTGTAACAGGTGAATGATCCACTTCCGACTGCAAGATATTCATCTTTCTCACAGATAGAAGGCAATAGGTGTTGTTAGGTTCTTATTTGTCAGGCTGTCTGTGTGTGAATATTGGTGTACCTCAAGGATATGTGTTTTCTCCATTACTGTATTCCATGTACACCAACAACTGCACTTTCAAAGACTCGTTCGTCAAACCAATTAAATTTGGGGTAATATCACTCTTGTAGGTCTCATCACTAATGATGATGACCATGTGCAGGTGGGAGGTGAGTAGGTTGGTATAATGGTGTGCTAACAACCCCCTAAAGCTTAATATCCTTAAACTGTTGGACATGGTAGTTAATTTCTGGAAACAATTTCTCCAAAACTTCTCTCCTTGATAATCAATTATGTGGGTGTGATTGTGGTGGTGTCCTTTTGGTTTTTGGTAATTATGATCTCTAATACCCTTAAATGGGAAAATTAATATAATCAGTACCACAAAGAAAGCACAGCAGATAATATACTTTTTTGTGCCAAAAATTTGGTATCTCTCAACCAACTCTAATACAGTTTTAAGAGCCATTCTGACATAATACAGAAATTAATATTATTATTTGGTTCTGGTGTCCAGATCTCTCCAGAAACACAAAACTTCACAAAGCAAGTATTTAAAGAATTAAATGTGTAGATAACACATCTTTATTAAATAGTTCAGGTGGGTAGCATAGCATAGCATAGCTGCGTCAGCAATCTAAAATACAATTTTAGTTACACTGATGAATTAGATCAATAGGTTGACGGGAAAATGTATGGAGCTGACTAATGTTAGAGAAAAATGTATCTCAGTCAGTTAAAGACTGTCAGGATAAGGGCATGAATATACACACAGACGTGCAGTTCTATCCTGCAATTAAGGTTTTAACATGATACTATTTATATGCAAAAAACTATTGTTATGATGTTATTTTTCCTACATTAAAACTGAATAGTTTCTGTTATTCTAAGACTCAAGTTTGCTCAAAATGTATCACTCCTGCTGAAACAATTAAAGAATATTTAAGATTTTTGTGATGAAATAAGTAACACTAAGGTTTAGAAACTCCACAGGAATCATCTTTGAATAAGGTTTGTAACATGGTTTATTAGCTATGTTCAGCTTTGTATTTTTGAAATCAGCACAACAGATAACTGTTACTTACTGGTGTTTGAAATGCACAGAGAAAGAATTCATCCAGTGTAATGTATTAAATAAAATCCATTCATCTTTATTGAAATAAATACACAAACTGTTCCATAACTTATATAACTTAATAATAATTTCATATATAAGAGATTTTCAAAGGTTAATAAATACATAAATAAATATATAACTGTGGAAAATACAAAAATAAGACATAGGCAATTAAATAGGGCATCGCGACAGTGAGTCACAGAACTCAGTGAAGAGAGCTTTCAATCTGAAAATTATCACTCCGACTAACATACTTCATCTGGATTCCTGCAAACACAAGTATACTGTAGGTAGGCTTAAAATTAAATGAAACAGTAGTTGCAATGTTGAGCAGGCATTGATTTATGAGTTTACAGGATGAATAGCTATCAATGTCCACTGGAAATACTGTAGTGAGGACCCTTTTTTTTAAATTGCTTTCTTACATAGCGTTAATGTGTTTAAGATAACTAATTAAATAACTAGATGAATTAAAAATAATTGTCATAAAATCAATATAGAGTTAAACAAAATACTCTTTTTTTTCACACATTACAATTTTGATTTGTCTTGCATTTAACAAGGTATGGGTGTACATTTAAACTCCTAGATTTAAATAATAGCCAGACCCAAATCATTTACACACACACCTAGATTTAACAGATTTCAACATATTGATATTTGTTAGTTACTGGAAATCAACTTAGCTTTGTATTGTAAAACTGCTTTTACTGTATGTTGAATTTATTTGTAGTTAATGAATAGAAATGTTTATGCCTGGTTGAATAATGCAAGATAATTATTGCTACAGTTTGGTATATTAATTACAACTCTCACTGTGATCCTTTCAACCTCATTGGTCCTTATCTAGCCTCTTCACTTTACTATTAATCTTTCACATTGTCCCTGTTAGTTCAACGACTGCTACTGCTATTCTCAAAGTCTTCCCACCAAACCTGCCTTAATTAAGTTAAGTTGCACATATCGCTGAAATCGTATGAGAACACTTGTAAAGAATCAGCACCTGCAACTACACAATCATGGGCCTGACACAGGTACAGCCAACAGTGATGGTCTTTTTTTCAAGTCGGAAGAAGATACCACACTTATCCTTCACTTTCTTCAGGACAAAGGTGTCATGGAGGATGGGAACAGAGTTGAGCCCCATATCCACCTGCCCATCTTCATCTACACAGCCCTGGTGCAGGCACACAGCCTCCGGGATTGTCTCAGGGTATTGGTCTGGGTCAGCAGGTTTCTGACTGTCACAAACAAAGATCACGTAAGAATGGGTCCTATAGGTGTTTATTCAATATAAACTCTGGTGAAACTTGAAAACTTCAGATTCAAAATCATAGGACTATCATAGCAATGATATATTTATTATAGATGACTAGAGATATTTAATTGAATCTGTATAAAGCAACTTATATACAGACTTCCCTTGGCATTTTATAATTCATGTTGTCTTCAAGAGGGCTTTAAGAGACTGTTTAGACTTTGATTCTACAATTATTTATTAAATGTGTTGCCAGCTTATCTTGTTCTATGGGTATTTCTACACATTAAAATTAATCCCTGTTAATTGCCATTTTTCTCAAAGAATGACCAGTTGTTAAGAAAACACAAAATCAAAAGCTGAAAAAAATATTCAGATGTTCATATAGTATTGAGATGTTAAATTATTTTAGTTTAAAATATTTTAAAAGTAATCTCACATATAAAAATACTTTCTGAAGAATGTTAGTCATACACTGGTAAGTATGTATGTAATTATATAGGTTTCTTTTTTAAATCTATTGTTATATGTTAATTAAAAATGTGAATGTGCGTAAGGTAATAGCCCATTTTCAAACTAAAAGGGCAATACAAGTCATAAATTGTCAAAAGGTTAATATAAATATATTATAAAGTTTAATTTTACATCACATTTTAGTAAAAAACAGTCCTTTGCAAAACTTTTCAATTTAGTCTTAGCCTTAATATATATAATTGCGATCCACTTAGTGTGCAGGAATAAAAATGATAAAGATGAAATAAACATGATAAAAACTGTAAGGATAATACACTTAACACTGCAACAGATACAGCAGTTTCAGGTAATCATGTTTATTTTGTTTAATTAAGTTCCTTCTCTTAAGATTTACAAATTACTATGGAAAGATATTGTAAAGCAGACCAATCAAAAAACATTTTTAAAGTTTGCTATACAGTACTGTATGTCCCCATTTTCTTTTAAGCGACTTACGTGTATTTCCATGGAGAAAGAGAACGCTGAGCCACATCATGGAAGGTATTTCTCCTTGAGTGGTGGGTGAAGTCCATGTATACTTGAGTGAATTTTCGAGCATCTCTAGACTCGCAGCCTCCTCTACTTTCTTTCACCCTAGGCGCCCCATTGACTCCCATTATCAAAAGCACTATGCTCAATACAGACAGCACAGGCTGAAAATAGAAAAAGCCCAAAACATGAAAGATGATAAGATAAGCACAAAATGACTTATAATTGTTGTGTAGTGATGGAAGGCGGCTTTCTTGGGAAATTGATATAAATGCCTTTTAATTATTTTAACTGCTTTTTATATAGAAAAGTATATTGAATGAAGGCTACTATAATTATAATAATATAATAAATTCTTCTTATTAGTTATTTATTAAACTCCTCAAGGTTCAGCATTCATAGTAAGAGCATAGTAAAAGTAACAGCATCCATAATGAGTAACTGTGTCAATGTGCAAGTTGTAAAGAAATAAGCAGATGTTTTTTTTTTTATACCTTTCAATATACAATTACTCCATCTGACAATTTCATTTCACATAGTTATGCATTGTTGAGGAAACCAAAGATGTTTTGTTTTTCATTAAACGTAATATGCATAAGCCTTTCATTTTCAAGTCATCTACAATATCACTGCTAGAAAAATAAATCGCAGAACTCTAAAAGCAGTATTACCTCAGAGGCAAATCAACTTTCAAGTTTTTTTTTAATGTACCTCCATAAGTCCTAATGTGAGTAAAATAAAACTTTGATGTGGAAATCCAGGCCATACACTTTTAATCTACACTCATAGAGAAACCTAGCACTAGCTTCTCTTCGTAGAATGCTTGCATCAGAAAACCTACACATTGTGTAGGTAAAAGCCTTTGCATTACTGCTTAAAACAATCATTCCTGTAACATAAGCATTGAGCATGAAAAACAGACCCTGCAGATGGTTTTCTCAGTTGTCTTCCGTCCATCCTGTGCTTGACGTGACCTAGTTTAACATGAAGTAGCTCACCATTGAAAGACAACACACTTATTTTTGAAAACAGGTACAGTAGCTGTAACTCAACTTACCATTATGGTTTGATTTTTCAGTGCTGAAGACATCTTCTAAGATGGATTCTCTGCAAGGTGCAAGGATTCTAAATTTCTTGTATGGTGCGTTCATCTTTACAAGGTTTATATACAGTACTCTTCCTGCGTTGGTGGAGGCTGTGCTTTCCCCTGCCTTAGTGATGTAATAATCAATGAGAGAAGAATATTATGTAGATTAGGAAGAGGAAAACAAATGTAGACCACCATGTTTTTTCCCTCAATATATCCCCCAAATGTTCCTGGTAAATCACTTTTCTAAAAATGCATTGACACTATGGCTTGATTTAGGCATCTTTATGTTCATTACCAATCAGGACAAAGGTGTTGAAAAACATTTTTAAGATAATCCTTCAGGTCAGTATTTCTTATTTAATACACAGTTTGCTATAATTTTGATGTACTTAGGTGTTTCTCCTAAACATCCTGAAGATGTTTTCCTATTTCAACTTTCATGTATAATTGACAGGTTTGCAATCGTTATATGTAGTTTTAATTATGTACTTGTTCAGTTTTTGCACAAAATGATTGTATATGAATACACTCATACATAGCGATCTAGGATTTCTTAAACTACTTAACCATAGCCTAAAATCTTCTATTCCACTCCAGTTTTTTTTAAAACTATTTAGATACATTTATCCAACCAAGCCATATACAAATAATGTTCTATGAACAAAAAATATACCAAATCCTTAAAAGGGATCAGGGCTTCCTATAGATGGTCAATAAAGACGGATATGTTAGAATTATTGGGGTCTAAGGGGAACTTAAAAAACTAATGCACCTGGAATGGTGTGTTGTCTCTTTCACTTACACTGGCAAGACAACACTATAGTTCTGTTAATTTAAAGTATATAATGAAGTTAGAGACCCACTTATTTTAACTTACTCCAGTGAAATACTTTGGTGGAATCAACCAGCAGATCAGTTGTTGATTTATCCTTCTAATTCTCAATTAAATAATTGGTTGCACTAAAGTTTTGCACTGTAGATAGAGATAGATAGATAAGACTTTATTAATCCTGTAGCGAAATTGATGTGTTACAGCAGTCCAACCCAAGACAAGCAAAAACAGACATCAGAATAGTTATAAACCAAAAGAAAACAAAATAAATAAATATAAATAAATGAATAGGTGTTTGCAAAGTGTGATGATCATAGTCACTGTAAAAACAATAAAATATGTGCAAAATGTGCATAGGTTTATACAGACTGATTGTCCAAAAAGTACAGTGGAGTAAACATGCTGTCCATAGATGAGCAAATGAAGGGCTAACAGTCCTAGCCTAGGGCAGCGTTATACACCCTGACAGCCGCCGGGAGGAAAGACCTGCAGAAATGTTCCCTTGAACACCGTAGCTTGAGGAGTCTGTTGCTAAAAATGCTCCGCTGCGCAGTAACAGTCCCATGAAGAGGATGAGAGGCGTTGTTCATGATGGCTGTGACCTTGGTCAGCATTCTCCTCTCAGCCACCACCTCCATGGGGTCAAGGCTCATCCCCAACACAGAGCCAGCCTTCTTGATAAGTTTATTGAGCCTATTTGCATCTTTTGTCATGATGCTGCTGCCCTAGCACACAACAGCGTAGAAGATGGTCACCGCCACCACTGATTCATAAAAAATGTGTAGCAGTGTTCCACATACACCAAAGGACTTGAGCCTCCTCAGAAAATAGAGTTGGCTCTGACCTTTCTTGTACAGGGCGTCAGTGTTACCAGACCACTCCAGCTTATCATCCAGGTGTACCCCTAAGTACTTGTAGGACTGTACACCCTCTATGTCCTCACCCTGGATGGAAACAGGGTTCAGCGGAGACTTATTCCTTCGAAAGTCCAAGATCATTTCTTTAGTCTTGCTGGTGTTAAACTGGAGATGGTTAAGATGACACCACTCCACAAAGTTGGTAATCAAGCTCCTATATTACTCCTCCCTCCCCTCTCTAATACACCCCACAATTGCAGAGTCATCCGAAAACTTCTGCAGATGACATGTCTCAGAGTTGCACCTGAAGTCAGAGGTGTAAAAGGTGAACGGGAATGGAGCAAGGACAGTCCCCTGTGGAGCCCCAATACTGCTAACAACCTTTTCGGACACACAGCTCTGTAGCCGTACATACTGTGGCCTGCAGGTCAGATAGTCTATAATCAAGGACACCAGGGGAGTGTCCACCTGGACCGCCCTTAGCTTATCTCTCAGTAAAGGTGGATGGATGGTGTTAAAGGCACTGGAGAAGTCAAAGAACATAACTCTCACAATGCTCCTGTAATAGATTGGAATGGCAGTAGTTTAAGATGCTCTGGACAAAGGCTATAAAGTGTTCACCATTTTTTTGATTAGTTCATCAAAACACTAATTTTATAAAAATGCAGAAAAACAAAAGTCAATATATGTGTGGAGTCTGTGCATTTAAAGCACGTTTATATGAATTAAGTCAGATTCAAATTAATCTGAATATAATTTGCCACTTATTAAACTGTCACAACCCAAATCAAAAAAGTTCATTGTGTGAAATTGACTTTTTGGAATAAGCTCTATCACAATCTGTTTAATTTTTACTCTGGGCACTGCCAAGCCAAAACTATAATCCTGCTGTGTAGCCAATTTCCATTCATCAAAATGGACATCAATATTTCTACTAATTCATGATGGGGAAGCTTGTTATCGCAGTATGATGATAAATTTAATTTTAACAAGCAGAAGAACTGATGCCTGAGGTTTCCTCACAAACACAAATAAAAGTATTTGAGGGATGGATGTAGTCATTCATGATCAAACATCCATTTAAAAGCAAATGTCTCAGGTGAGGACTTCTGTTCTCAGACGTATGTACAGTATCTCACAATTGTTTTTCTGAGTTAAAGCCGCACTGCCTTTATTGTTGTGCCTGCACACCCCCAACTACACTAAAACACAATATTATTAGATTATTCAGAGTTTACGGCAGATGTACTGTATTGTTAAAACACAAGTGTGAATGGTTGGTAAAGGTTGGCACTGCAGTAAAGAAACTGAGATTGTGATTGACAGAACATACCTCCATCCTCCTTGGTTCTATAGCTACTTTTTAATGGACCCTTATGATTCATTCTCTGACCTAATTTAAACGAAAAAACAGTCACCACAATCTGAACTCAAAGACTTCCGCATTGACGCTACTCTTGATGTTTCCATGTTCATGGTGTGAGGGGGGGTTTTACTGAGCTTTTTTCCATATGCTCAAACATTCAGCATGCTGCCCTGAAATCATGGAAATTGTTAAATCATATTGTACCAAGTACTGTAGTAGCATCAGTAATCGTAAAAGGATCCGCAGGATCAGGCAGACTATTAATTCAGACTTCAAAATTCTGGATTTTATTTTATATCTCTTTCGTCTTCCTTAGTCAACATGCAATATGCAATTGTCTGCACTATCCCGTTTCCCTAGTATTCTAATTTTCTATTGCCTGTGTATCTACTGTATATCTACATTGGCGATGTTGACTGACTGCTCATATTTTAAATACAGTCTTAGAAATAAATATATGGAAATAATTAACAGCACCTCTTTATGAAAAATAAAATATTGCACTACCTCTTTATGAAAGCAAATGCTTCATTTTAAGGAAAGTCTTCATCTCTCATCTTATTAATACTAATTTCCCAGTCATAAACGACTTATATTTATCACATAAGTTATACAAAACATACTTTATCACTAATATGATATATATTTAAATTGTATGTGTGTTTTGGACCCACGATGTTTTAAGTGCTGATACATTTGTAGAATAATTTACATGTCCTTCTAGTTACTGTAGAGTTTTTTCTAAATTTGCAAATTTGCTTTTTGGAATTTTGTGGTATAATTTGCCTCAAGTATAACATCCATCTTTTTTCTGACTGCTTCTTCCAGTTCAGAGTCACGGGGGAGCTGGAACTTATCTTGGCAAGCAATGAGCACAAGGCAGGGTACACCCTGAATAGGACACCAGAGCATCACAGAGCAGACAGACACAAACTCACACCAGGACCAATTTTCCCAGAGGAAAATTAACCTACAAGTATGTCTTGAAATGTAGGAGGTGTAGCGTTGCCATAGCCGGCCCAGGGACGCCAAAATGTAACGTTGCCATAGCCGGCCCAGGGACGCCAAATTAAATGTAGTGTGCTCTCTGAAGGCACCAGTTCTGTAGGGTTTGGGCATTTACTGGGACAATTATTAATTGTAGCAGTAAATCACAAAATTGATTCTTTTGATGGCTTTAGAATCCAACCATGCAATATAACTCAAACAACGCACACACACAGGTACTAATACACGAGGATACATTTATTAATACATAAAATATGCATATAAACCTAACATATCTTATCGAGAGGGTTATCAGAATACAAAAGGTATATATTCAGTCAGTTACAAAGAGTTACATATATCAAGAGGACATACGTTCAGTATATCATTCATTTAGAACGTTTCATAAATGAACTTGGTTATAACTTCTACATTAGATACTCAAAACAAGTACATAACTCTTAGGAATTAAATTGATATCAACTGGTTGGGATAACAATCTCTGGGGATTCAGATCTCCTGCGGGCACAAAGAAACAGTTGCAGGCTGTTGCTGTCCAATCCGCGCTCTCTGGCTCGGTGCCAGGTTGTGCTGTGCGGCTTGCGACGGTGCGCTGCTGATGCTCACTGAAGACCGGCTAGTTAGTGTTGGCTTTAACTAGCAAAGTTTGTGCACAGGAGAAAAGATGACTGTGAGTCCCAGCAAGCCAGGAAGAAGACCGGTTCGTTCCTGATGAAGAGCTA